CATCAGAATTAAGTTTCTTTTTGAAAATCCATTTCCAACCAATTGTATTACACCCCGGAGGTAGTTCAACTAACTCTCATGTCACATTAGAGACAATAGACTCAATCTTACTTTTGATAGCTGCTTTCTAATGCTTAGCTTCTGGTGAAGTCATAGCATCTTTGAAAGTTATTGGCTCGTCCTCGATATTGTAAGTGATAAAATCACTTCCAAATCCTTAACGATTCTAGCTCGTTTGCTCCGTCTAGGTTCATCCAATTCTGTTTGTAAAGAATCCGAACCACTTAGATTACCCCCCACATTTGTCATCTTTTCCATATGTTCAGGAATTGATGATGATGTAAGGGTCGCATTGAAGAATCATTTTGGGGTATTCCTGTTTTCATAGGAAAAACATCCTCAAACAATGTAGCATCACGGAGTTTAACAATTGTGTTTATGTCTATGCCAACAATTTCTGATTTAACAACCAAAAATCTAAGAGCATGGCTAGTTTCCACATATCCCAAAAAGACCGCATCAGTAGTTTTAGGTCCTAGCTTTTTTCTTTTGTGCTCGGGTACTAGAACTTTTGCAAGACAGCCCCACACACGAAAGTACTTTAAGCTAGGTTTCCTACCTTTCCATGATTCAAATAGAGTTATTTCATTGTGTTTCAAAGGGACTCTATTCAGAATATGGCAAGCTGTATTCAAAGCCTCTCCCCACATGTATTTAGGCAATCCAGAATTCAACAAAAGACTATTGATCATATCTTTAAATGTTCTGTTTTTCCGTTCTGCAACCCCATTAGACTGAGGAGAATATGGAGGAGTTTCATCATGAAATATGCCAAAATTTCGGTAATATTCACCAAAGGGGTTAGATTCATATTCTCCACCTCTGTCTGATCTTAACCTTTTAAGTTTCTTACCAATTTGTGTTTCAGCTTCATTTTTAAAAATATAAATTTCTCAAGTGCTTCATCTTTATGTTTAATTAGATAAACATAACAATACTTACTATAATCATCTATAAAAGTGATAAAGTATCTTTTAAGGTCTTTAGTCACAATACCATTGAACTTACAAATATCAGT